CCTCGCCCGCCCCGGCCCGGGGCCCTCCTCCCGTCGCCGGCGCCGCCGGCGCGCCCTCGGCTCCGCGAGAGGAGGCGGAGGGGCGGTCCCGGGGGCGGGCCGCGGCGGGGGCGGCTCCGCGCCGAGCTCGGGCAGCACCGCCGCGGCGCCCGCGGGCCGGGGCCTCCCGCGCGGAGCGAACGGGTGGAGGCGCACCGCCGGTCCTGGCCACGGAAGGGAGGAGGCCCCGGGGCCCGGGCGAGGCGAGGCAGGGAGGCGGGCGCGGGGCTGAACCTGCGCCCCCTTAGCCACCTGCCGCCCGCTCCGCTGCCCAGGCGCTCTTGCCGAAAGAAAGGTTCAGGGGCTCAGAGGAGTAATATTGGGTAGCTGCCGGTTTGCCCCCGTGCGCTGCTCCTGCTGCCGCGCCTTTCACGCGCCTCGCCTGAGGCTTTTTTCTGAAATCGATGCGCTCCGCGCATCCATCCCTCTTCCACATGGGGGTGTCCGCGGAGACGGCCCCCCTGGAAGACACGCGCGAAGAGACCGTGGAACACTCACGAGCTGACGCATGCACGGGTGTTCGCGGATTTCTCTGCTTTGTTCAGCTTGCCCCACACCCGGGATCCTTCCGACACTGAACACAGTTGCTGCTGGACCAAAAGAAGGGCCAAGGCGAGAGGGCTGGGGGGGAGATGGGGGGAGGACAAGGAGCCCCTTTTCCTTGGTGCTCCCCAAGAGGGGAGGCAGAGAAGGGGGCAGACAGGGTCCTTGCTCAGCAAAAGCACGGGGGGGGGGCATCAGTGGGGAAGAAAGCCAGCCCCAGGGGGGTTGGATGGTTGGTGCCACCCCAACAATGCCTTGAGCCAGGTCCATTCTGTGGGGTGGAGCTGGACCTCCTTAATTCCTGGACAAGATGAACTTAAAAATAGAAGAGAATCCCTGGCAATGTGGGCTAAGGTCCATCTAGGCCCTCTTCACACCCTGGACAACCACCCACAGGATCCCATGAGCAGCAGTGTCCATACTTCCCAGCAACGGGGTTAAGCTGGCTTGCAGTAACCACGCACTTCCCTTCCAGCCTCTTGCAGACATCCAGTTCCAATTTCCTTCAGCTTGTCCAAGGCCTGCCTTCCCCACCACTGAAGATCCATGCAATTATCTTTCAAGGAAGCGCTGCTTAGCAGCCTTCTCTCCAGGATGTTGTGTTCAAACTCACTATCTCCCCAGATGGTGCTTTTGGAAAGAGAGCGCTTCGAAGTACACCTGCAACTGTGCTAAGAATGTGTGGCAACTCGTATTCATTCGTCCAAGAGCTGCACCCACTTTACAGACGGAGAACTGAGACCTGGCTTGCCTGAAAGACCACTGTGCCTGAGCAAAAATCCTACCCTGATCTCTCAGACCCAAATTCTTTTCTTTCCTTTCACATGAAAGCTTGCTGACAGAAGGTAAATGTATCTCTGCCTAATAAGAGATCAAAAGGGAAAAGCAAACAACAGAATGTTCATTTCCAAAAGCAACTGAAAGCAGTTGGTGCCGGATGGGCGCATTATGCAAACACGTTCACCCTCTTCTCTCTGCCCCACCTACGATCCTTGAAAAGCGGTGCCCTTTTGCAGATTCCAAGAACACTGAAATAATTCAGCATCCTGTTTTCCTGCTGGGCAGTATAGAAACGAAATTAAAAATAATGTTTGAATGACTAGCATGCCCTACACAGGCTAGCTGCCCTTGGAAGGTGCTCATAAACTCCAGCTGATGCGCTTGCTGCAGCCAAAATAACCTTGTGCTCATTTTTGAGCATATCACTCTGCTTGCATTATTTTTCCATGGGTTTCCAGTCCATACCCAGGGACTAGTTATCCATTATCTCCAGAGGCCAGGACTGGGATATTAAAATTGCAGCCTCCACACACAGAAGCCTGTCTGTTGATTGCATTATGTTTTGGAGACTCTGTGTTTCACCACCAAGAAAGACTTGATTGGCTGGGATGCAGGACGGGGCGTTTTTGGTGGTAGCATCCTGATTGTGGAACATCAGATCGAATCCTTCATTGAAGATATGGAAGCAGCTGGATGTGATTTTCTTTTAGTGAAGCTTCTGATTCATTTTACTTCTTATTTCGTTGCACTGTTTTAATGTTCTGGGTTTTGTTTACTCAAATTTGCTTTAATATTGTGAACCACAATGGAGATCCTGTGGAGCTGGCACATACATTATTTTATAAATAAAACTCATAATGACTATTTGGTCATAGTCCTTTGTCGAGGGAATGCTTTCATCATCAGCTCATCTGCAGAAAAATCCAGGAGGCATCAGTCGTTGGCTTTTGCTCCGTGTCTTCTGAGCACACCGTTCACGTGGAGCGTTGGACAGTCTTTCCAGTCCTCAGTGTTGCTGTGCATGGACTGAAAAGGCAAAAATATATTTGCCTGCCGAGGCTTGCCGGGGAGCGACAGCTTTCTTCATTTCAATGGCCCTGCATGGCATAGGTGGAAGGCAATGACCAGCCCAAATCTGGGGACTTAAACCCAGATCTCACACATCCCAGTTCAGCCCTTGTAACCAAAAACTCCATTTCCCAGTACCTGAAAAAAATAAGGCAGTAAAAAGCATCCACCCACCCTCCCCATGGCTGCCCTTGCTTTCCAACAAATAGAGTTTCTATCAAAGCCTGTTGTGACATTTTGAGCCAGAAGGTCAGTGATCAGGAAAAATGTCTGGTGATGTGCCTGCGTGGAATGTATTTGTGGATCCAGCTACCAGGCTGTTTAAAATCCAGACCATTTCCTGGATTCAAGGGACCAGAAAAGCAAAACAACAGGAAGGCCAGTTGTACAGGTAAACAACAAGAGCAGGCATTGCAACATGCTAAAACGTCAATGGGTTAAGTAACCCAAAGACACATTTCAGACTAAGGAATGCCAGCCTCCGTTTTAATTAGCTTAATCCTGCATCTGCGTTGCATGATAGTGGAGTCAGAAGGTGCCAAGGAGGCCACCGGGTGCAACTCCCTGCTGGGGCAGGATGCCAGTCGCACAGTCCCACTCAGGCAGTGGTCTAGCTGCTCCTTGAATGTCTCCAGTGTGGGGCCCACCGCCTCGCTCAGCAGCTGGTTCCACGGTCGCATTGCTCTGCCCGTGAGGAAGTTCTTTGTGGTGTCTAGCCTGCGCCTGGTGCACCGTAGGCCAGTCTTCCCCAACCTGGAGGCCTTCAGAGGCATTCAGACCACAACTCCCAGAATCTCCATCCAGCAGGGCCATTGGCTGGGAATTCTGGGTGTCGCAGTCCAAATGTTTCTGGAAGGCACACGATTGGGGAAGGCTCACAATGTGGGAAACGATTGCCAAAGAGCCATGAACAGCCTCCTTGGTGTATTCTTGATTCATGCATTCAAACATGACCTTTTAAGTCAATGGAAGGAAATTAATATGGGGGAATGTCCCAAACAGTGTGGGGAGAGAGCCTCCATTCCATTTTTATTTTTACATTCTCAGAGGAGATGCCTCTGCAAGATGCAAGATGTGCGGAAGAACCCTGATCTCATGAAATTTCCTCCTGCAACAGGGTGGCTGGTTTTGTGGCCGGCGTTACTTCGGCTGCGGGCAGGAAATAGACTCTGGAAAGCATGACTCACATCTGCATGCTTCCTTATTCTAGTTATTCGATATTTCATTCCTGTACCACCCCATGGCCAGAACTCTCTGGGTGGTTTACAACAACGCCTAAAAACAAAACAGTAAAATGCAACAAATGTCATGCATGCAAAGCAACATTGCAGCACATTTCAAGCAGCGAAAAACGCCAACTGGGGCAAACCTGGATCTGGAAACACGATGGAGAGAAAGGGTGTTTAACTGACCCTCAGTGCCCATACAGGTGACTGCAGGGTGACGCTGGAGCTGCAGCCATTCAGCCACCCCTCGTCAGCATGACCCGAGGCGACCGGCATGCTTGTCAAGCCATGAAAAAGCTCCCTGACTTGAGGGAGGGCCTCTAAAGCTGCTTGGGGTAGGGAGCCCGGATGGTGTCTGAACACCTGTGCAGGTGTCCCCCCCCCCCAGTGCATCAGGGGAGATCATCTTACCCTCCCCCCACCCCTGTACTCATCACAGAAGCAGGATTTAGTTCCATTTCCTATAAAGCTACACCTGGTTAGAAATGCAGACCTGCTGCAGAGAGGAAAAGCTGCAGAATTGGCCCTGCAAAAAGGGGAAGCAATTCTTCCCCTGGCTGATGGGTTCCCGTTATGGAAAGGTGCACGAAGAGGTCACCATTTTCATCCCCTTCTCAGAGAAGCAATGTAGGAAAGGCTACTCAGTGCTGGCTATTCAGTGTAGCTCCAAGCATCTAATTCCAGAGTGATGAGGCTTCTGTGTGGGGTGGGTGACTGCGGGGCACATCTTTTAACGACCCAGGTAGGACTGGATGAATTAAGCTGTCTTAGCTGTGTAGTTGGCCTGGTGTTCACCTCCTTTCATTTCTGGGAGTCATACAGGGATTTCTTCAAGGCACAAGTAAAGGAAGGCTCGGAAAAGTCATTCAAAGAAGAAAACATCAAGGACGTGGTGCTGTGAAATAAAATTTCCTGCTTAGAAGGCCAGCTTTAGTCAAGCCACCAGCTGGCAGGTTCTTGGAGGGACTTTTCTCTTTCCCCAGAGAAGCCAGGCCTTCTTGCAAAATATGAATATTAAACAAAAATGCAAGTCTTAGGAGAAAAGTGCACAAAAATGTTTATGAATTTCATTTGAACTTCTTTTTACAAATAATCTCAAAGTGTGGGAGGCACATAGAGATACTGTTACTCTGCTGTTTCTGCTGGAAAACTGGGATCATTTTCTAGAGAAAGGAGTCATTACCCTTTCCCAGGGTTGGGTGATGTTTTCCAAAGCTCTGAGCAAGATAAAATCATACAAGCCATCTGTCCTGGGAAAGGTAATTCCCCCAAAATGTTTAGATGTAAGGAGATTTTCATCTGTTTCATCAATTCTTGAGCAGTCCCAAAGATGCAGGAAAAATGGTTTGCCCAGGAGCATCAAGAGTTAATCTTGGACCTCCGGGATGTTGGTTGAAAGCCAGCACTCATGACACTGGGACAATTCCCCCTCTCAGCCTCAGCTTCTCATCTCTAAATTGGGCTTTGTCTGTTCCCAAGGCAAAAATCAACATGGATTTGGGCAAAATATTTCTCTGCTGATGTTACTCCAGAACAAAACATGGGGATGAAATAGTGGGGCGCTCTGGCAAGTTTCCTTTGCTCTCCTGGGCAAAATACGATCTGGCAACAAGTTGCTCTTCCTGACAAAGAAAAGCGTTGTCCCAGTGGGCATCACACTGGGGCGCTTCTGGGCTTGCTCTTGCAGTGTCTGTGCCATCGCTTTCTGTCCCTTGCTTTTTTCTGAACACTTTGAAAGCAGAAAAACATGACGTGGCAGGCGTATTTGCAGATGAGGTTGTAGGAGCTGTCAGAATGGACACAGAGCAGCACAGTGCTAACACGCAGCTTTCCCACCATTCAGATGAATGAATGAATGAAGCGGCACTTCTCGAAGAGATGTTTTTAATCTGGTCTTTTCCCTCTCTCTTGTGCTATAGCCAGCAAAGGAGAACTATTGGCATAATATTTCATTTTTTAAGGGAGGTGTGGACAACTTCTGGACCTCCCAATGTTTTGGCCTACAACTCCCATCAGTCTTAGCAGACATAGCCAATGCTGATGGATATTGGGAGTTGTGGGAAAGCTGCCAATTGGCCTTGCATAATATAGAGAAACAAGGTATTGCTTATCATGAGTTATAACTGTAAAGACGGCCTGGTAATTTCATCTCATTCAAAATGGGGTGACAGAGAATTGGGGGAGTTGAGGCATCAACTCTAAACTTGCCCTAAACCAGGGGTCGGCAACCTTTAACACTCAAAGAGCCATTTGTACCGGTTTCCCACACAAAAGAAAACACCGGGAGCTGCAAAACCCATCGTTCTCTTAAAAGCAGAAGTGACATGGAGGAATCGCGGTCGAGTAGCGATACCTCATCAGGAGTGCAGAATACGGAGCAGGCAGTAAATGCCTTGCGCAGAAAGGTTTGCGGTAAAGCTTGTTTCAGCTTGCTTGGCTTCCTTGAGCGACCTCCCTTCCTTCCCCACACAGCCCCCCTTGTCAACACCCCGGCCAGCCTTGTCCCCTCCACACACCACCTTCCCCCGGCCTCGCACAGCCATATTCTTCCCTGGCCCAAGAACCGAGAACTCTGCCTCGCAAAAGAGGGCCAGGGACAGTCCACCTGGAGCCCTCATGTGGCAACTTCCGTGTTTTTGTTGTGATGTGCCATCAAGTCGTCTCCCACTTACGGTGGCCCTGCGGATGAAAGACCTCCAAAGGGGCCTGACCAGGGCCTCTCCATCCAGCTCTTCCAAGTCCAAGGCTGCGGCTTCCTTGGTGGATTCCATCCATCTCATATTTGGCCTTCCCATTCGTCTTCTGCCTTTGACTTGCCCTAACTCAGGGCTTTTTTTTTTTTGTCACAGAATGCAGCAGAACGGCGTTCCGGCACGGCGTTCCGGCACTGTTTTTCCCAATGGATTTTACGAAGTGATTTTGAATAGTAGCAGATCAGCAGCAAACATCATTAACATAGTGCCTGCGGGCTGCTTTTGTGTCTGCTATCTGCTAGTGAGATAGTGAGGGCTGCTCTCGCTTGGGACGCTGCTCGGCTTGGGATTGGTGTGTGTGGTTGCGCACTTACTGCCGGCAACGTGAGTTCTGGCACCTTTTTTTTTTTTACAAAAAAAGCACTGCCCTAACCCAGTTGTCTTCTCCAGGGAGTCTTGCCTTCTCATGATGTGCCTGAAGCATGACAGCCTCAGTTTTTTTACTGTTGCTTCTAGGGAACACTCTGGCTAGACCTGATCCAGGGCCCCTGTGTTCATCTTTCTACCAGTCCAGGGTATTCACGGAGCAACAACTCTGCTGGGCGTTAAATACCCTGCTAAGACTCACAGTTTGTCCAGGCTTTCATGTTTAATGATCGATGCTTGTTGCTTGTTCTGGGACTTGGAGGCAGGTGGTTGGTTCTTGGTTGGTTTGCTTGCTTGCTTGCGGTTTTGCTGCTGCTGCTTTATTTCTAGACTTTGCTTGGGGGCTTTTTATCCGATGTGATCCACCTTGAAAACATGCAAACATGGCACAATATGCTTACTATTTTAAGGAAGTTACATTTAAAAACACATTTGAAACAGAATCTTTACAAATGCAAGTTTTAAAGCTGGATTTTGAACAGTGCAGAGGTGCAATCTTACCCTCTCCCTACCCTTGATGCACGCAGTTCTCCAAGCGAACGAGGTGCGGCAGTCGAGCTTCTGGCAGGGCTGTGTCTGGGGCCCTGATTTTTATTTAGATGGCTGCCTAGAGAAAGCGCTGGGGAAGGAGAGAGTGGGAAGCTGAGATGCCAACGGGAGTTGGTGGAAGCCTCTTCCCTTACCTGCCCACGACACATCCTTTCATTCCCAAGGTGCATCATCTCTTGCACACCACCTTCAGTGGAGGTTGGGCAGTGGCTTGGCTTCCAGATCTCCAGCACCCAGATCTCAGAATCATAGACCTGGGAGTGCAAGCAACCCTGTGCCCAAACATTATGTTGCACAGCTGCAGAATAAAATGATAAAAACATGGGTTGATCCTGAAGCCCAGCCGGAGCCGATTCCCAGGCATTTGGAGGAGGTTTCAACTCACTGTGAAATGAAATAATAACCACATGAATGGTTTTGGCTGGGCTCCCACACCATCCGCAGCTAGCCCAGCCTGGTGGATCAGGCTGGATAGGTTGCATGGCTTCCTTCCACTCCCAAGTGCCAGCAAACTGAAAAGGCTTATTCTGCTCAGCTGAGGCTCTGCCAGCGAGAGAGGCTGAGAGAGAGAGAAATGCAAAGCAAGCTTGTATGAAGACAAATGCGGCTGGATCTGCATGCATTTGCATTTTTTAGGCAACAGGGGGCAGTGGATGCGATCTGCATTCGACTCCAGGACTGATCTGGATCCACAGTGACTCTGCCTTCTCCTTGCAAACTGTTTTTGCAACGTTCTCCAGTCACAGCCTCTCGGGCCAGCCTACCTCACAGGGCTGTTGTGGTGGGGATAGAGAGCAGGAGGAGGAGAATGATGCAAACCGCCTTGCGTTCTTTGTAAGAAAAATGGTGGGATATTAATCTAATGAATATAGTGGTCCAAGGCATGTCCAGTTTTTTCTCATTTATTTTATTTAAAGTTTTTAAATAAATAGTTAAAATTAAAACACGAGAGGTCGTTGAGGCCCCATCGGTGAGGGTGTTCAAAGATAGGCTGGACATGCACATGGTGGGCATGTCGTGAGCAGAGCCGGCTGGAGCCGAGGTCAGACTAGATGGCCCAAGAGACCCTTCTGACTCTCTCTGTTTCTGTGTTTTATATGATGTCCAATACCACGTTCTCTGGACGGATTACAAAAAACAACATACCAACAAACAACACACTGCATCCCACTGTCAGTGATAAAATCAAAGATAAAACCAATGAAACATTAAAATGTTAGGAAAATAAAAAGGCTTTCACCTGATGCTGAAAAGAATAAAGTAATGGCGCCAGGCGAACCTGCCTGGGGAGCATGTTCCAAGCCAGGGTGCCACCACCGAAAAGGCCCTACTCTGGGAAGCCATCCTCCTAAGTTCCTGCAAAGAGGGCTCCTGGAGAAGGACCTCTGCCTCACACCCAAGGGCCAGGGAAGAAGGTGCCGGGGTCAAGCACCATTCAGGTGTGATATCGCCCCCTTCAGGTGACAACATGTATTAATTCAGAAAGTGCATGGCCTCCCCTTGGATGATGACATCTGGACCTCCTGATCTTAAAGGGGCCCCATCATTGAGGTTTGCATGCCATACCTTGCTAAACAGGCAGGGTACAAATGAGATGAAATCCGGCAA